CTTTCCACCAGTCCCACAGTACCCAGCACATCACTCTTATAATTTCAGGTTTCAAAGAATTTTGAGAATTCTCATCTTGCCCATCTCTGGTAAGAACTCACTCTAACCCCAGGCCTCAGTGGTGTGCAAGGATGCCAAAGTCATGGGATAAATATGGTCAACCTTACTAGAGCATCAATTTTATACTAAGGCTTGGTTTGCTAGGAAATTACGGGAATATCTGGCATCTTTAACAGTTCGGCTGTTCCTGTGCCCAGCAATCCACAGAATCCTGTTTTCTCATGTATGCTACATCTCAGCAGTATCGGTGAAAGTTCAAAGAATAGAACTTTTTTTTTTTATCTTGTGAGTAGGGAAATTTGATACTTTTATGTTTTTATTAAGAACTATATTACTGCTTCAGTGGGATTAGAGGGCCTGCTACTGGGCCAGAAACAGCTTAGGATAATCATCTCCGGGGCCTGGAGGTTGGTGCCAGCCGCTGGTATGAATTAACCAGAACCTGTCATTTCTCAGCAAGATTAAAAAGACCTACGGAGCTAGCATTTTTAAATCCAGCTGGTCAACTTAAATTCCTGTCTACATTTTACCTTTGCCTGCATTAAATTATCTTAACTCCCACAATTCAGTTTACCTTCCTGACAAAATTTCACTCCATCATATCCTTTATTTACGAACTCCTGATTACAAATAGCATTTCTTAAAGCTGAGTCCTTCACCAAAACTCAAAAAAAAAAAAAAATTAAAAGTCTCTTTTTTCACCATTCCATTGGCTTTTAACATACATTTTTAAAGTATACATAATAAAAGAAAACTGTTGAAGCCATGGCGATAGGCAGAACCAAGTATGTCTGGAGTAGAAAGAGCACAGCCAAACTGACTTCGAGAAATATAAATATTAACGATAACAACAATGATAATAGTCAATACTTATTGAGCATTTTCTATGTGTCTCGCACTTACTCAAAATGGTAATGCTTTCAGCATTTTTACTGACTTAATTACAATTACTATGCTTTTAGGACATTTTCATCTGCAAAGCAACTACTGATAAAATAATATATTAAGAACTCCTATCAAGAAAATATTTGTCTTCTAAGATATACATTATTAAACAGAAAAAAATGAATGGATTTGTATACAGATGAGGTCAAGCTTTTCACAGGCAAGCCCCAGAGAGTAACAGCTAACATCCAGGTGCTGCCCACCACATCGCTCATTAGGACAGCTGACATGAGAGGGTTTACTTCTTGATTTCCTTCATTGAATGGTTAATTGGTAAAGTAAAAGAAAAAAAGAAAACAAAAACAGTATCTCCTCAAGTTTATAATAACAGGAGAAAAGACTTTGAAACTTGGCTCATGTTCACAGGTGAATATGGGCTTAGGCAGGGAAAGGTACAGCTCTGAGTTTGTGTAATACGGGTTGAACTTTTTTTTAAAGGAAAAAAAAGATGGTTTGACAAACAGTAACTCACAAACACAGCTTAGTAGATATTTTTTTCATAGTTAAATGTTCTCAGTTAACAACTGGGAAAACTACAAATTTCTTACTAAACTTACGCATCCAACAATGGCTACCTAAGTACTTTGAGTACTTAATACTCTCCCGTTGCAGAATAACCAATGCCTAGAAAGGACATATTATTTGAAAGATTGTTGGTCTTGAAAGAGGCACAAGACGTTGCCTAAAATCGCCCTTTTGAACAAGGGGAAACTGGATATGAGTAGTAAGGAATTAGGGCCAAGCAAGAATCAGAGCAGCAGACACAGCAGGATCGGGCTGCCTCAAGGCAGAAGCCATAGTAGAATGGTGCTGTTTGGAAACCGAGCCTTGGGCCAAATTCCAGGTGGGGAGGACCACAGTAGCCCGCTGAACCCAGGTCTCAAAAAGGTCTGAAGTGGTCCAGGTCAAGGGCAACAACTGGCTACCAGCTGGAGCAAAATCAATTTCTCCCTGTAGGAAAGATTCTCATATTCCAAATTTCAGCCCACAGGACTGATTAAGATTAAACAATATGCTCACAATCACAGGTCCCCAAGCACACAAGAAAGCAAACCATAATGACAGTCACAGACAACATATTTAATCAACAAAGTATAAATTTAGATTCTCAAGAATTGCAGATATTGGAATCATCGGGTACAGAATATAGAATAGCTATGCATGTAACATTTAAAGAAATAAAAGGTACAGTCACAAAGATCACCAATGAAAGAATGTTAAGAATAAGCAGATAGTGGGGAAAAAATGGCGTAGATGATAGAGGCTCTGTTCATCCCTCTGGCGACCAAATCAAAGTTGCGACAGAAACAAGGAGCAAACATTAAGGAAAAATCACCTGGGATTGAGATGAACAATCCATACAACTAGAGAGAAATCTAAGAAATCACCCTGCAACAGCAGAAGGCAGGATGGGGCGAGGATGCGAGGCTGCCTGGTCCACAGTGGCTTAGTGGGACGGAGGCTACAGCAGCTGCAGATGCCTCTTAAAGGGGCCATACTCATGAGCGGACTTCTGTGGTGATGGACCTGCTCGCTCTGAGAACCAGTGCCTGTTCAGCTGCGCAGGGGGCACCAGGGACTTGCAGGGGGACACTGAGTTGTTGGAGTGAGGGCTGAGGCAAGATTCGCTCTATACAGAAGTGCCAGCGGTATCTTCTGTTCCTGTTGAGCCCTCCCCACTTCCAGTGCACAGACGCAGCGCCGCCATAGCTGAGACTGACTTAATTACAATTACTATGTTTTTAGGACATTTTTATTTGCAAAGCAACTACTGATAAAATAATATATTAAGAACTCCTATCAAGAGAACTGGATAACAAACTGGATAACAGAGGTTGCTCTGCCCAGAGGATTCTGTCTCCCCCAACTCACGGCCCCTCCCAAGCTACACCCAGGTAAATCCTCAGCAAGTCAGGTGCTCCTTGCTGAGCAGAGCCTACACTCACACTGCAGGCAGCTGGCCTCAGTTTCTGGTGTGGACTTTTGAGGCAACTATAGGCACAGCATCTGTGCATTGCTTGCTTAACAGGTGGCCCCAGACGGGTAGAGCCTTGAGCTAAGTTTGGCCTGCAGTTGAACCCCTCTCAGGACTGTCCCACTGGATATCTACTTCACAAATCCACACTAATAAGATCGGGAGACTTAGGAGCTTTGCTTAGTACATAGAAACAGACACGGAAAGGCAGCCAAAATGGGAAGACAAAGAAGCAGAACCATATGAGAGAACAGAACAGAGATCCAGATATAATGAAGTCAAGTAATCTAACAGATGCAGAGTTCAAAACACTGGTTATA